AAAAATAAAAATAAATAAAAGACACAAAACCCTTCTTTTCCTTATAAATTAACTAATCTTTGAGTATTCCTTTATAACAACACATGGATTAACACATTGTTTAACAAACTTTCATTATATAGTTAAGTGGAGTAAGTGGTACCACTGCTTACTAAAAAGTAGCAGCTGTGCAAATACTAATTTTTTTGTGTTTTCGGGACTGACTCTTGCTCTTGTTGCCCAGGATGGAATGCGTGATCATGGCTCACTGCAACCTCTACCTCCTGGGTTCAAGCAATTCTCCTGCAGCCTCCTGAGTAGCTGGGATTATAGGAACCTACCACCACACCTGGCTAATTTTTTTTCTTTTTAATACAGGCGGGGTTTCGCCATCTTGGCCAGGATGGTCTCAAACTCCTGACCTCAGGGGATCCACCTACCACGGCTTCCCAAAGGGAGCCACCATGCCCAGCTTCGAAAACCTGTAAATATTAAACATTACTCCTCCCCACCATTAGTAACTATTGTACTTTCACTATGCAACTCAGATCAAAAAGTGTTAGGAGTTCCTAAGTGTAATGATTTGTTTTTCACATTCATGTGTGGGATATGAAAAAAATTTTACATCTGGCACAGTGGCTTACTCCTGTAATACCAGCACTTTGGAAGGGTAAAGTGGGACATCATTTAACACCAACTAGACACTACTCTCAGCAACATAGCAAAAACCTGTTTCAAAAGACAGCAACTAAGTCATGTAATTATGGTAATTACTTACTGTAATAAATCCATATCCCTTGGATCGACCAGTTTCACTGTCCATCATCAGCTGGATACTTTCAATCTATAATTGAAAAGCACAATTACTATTTAACTTAAAATCAGAGTACAAAGCTACTTTATTCCCTGAGACATGGTTTTAGAAAGCTAGCAGTCTCCTCATACTACAAAATAGAAGACTTATCACAACACCTCATCACCAAGAAGTCTTTTTAAAGTCTTGTAACTATAATTTTATATTTAACATGAAAAAAAAATTAGGCTGGTACGGTGACTGGCTTCTGTAATCCCAAGACTATGGGGAGCTGAGACAGGCAAATCACCCGAGGTCAGGAGTTTTGAAACGAGTCTGGCCAACATGGTGGAATCAGGTATCTACCAAAAATACAAAAATTGGCTGGGCTTGATGGTGCATGCCTGCATGCCCAGCTACTTGGAATACTGACACAGGAGAATCACCTGAACCCAGGTACTCCAGCCTTGGCAACAGAGCAGGAGTTGGTATTTAAAAAAAATAATAAAAATAAAAATAAAAAAGTCTAGAAACTTCCCAAGCAATGGGGAACAGGGAGCAAACTATGATTTTCAAACTAGAATTATCTTTCCTATTAATAAACCACAAAAAAGCTTCCTAAATTACCATTAGAAGATAGAAAAAAAAAAAAAACCAAAAAACATGTTTCCTTTCCACAATGCAATAATTCCCAATTATACTAGACACAGTAAATCATAAAAATGGAATAACTAAAACTGACAATGAATTTGGCGATAATTGCACAATTCTGTGAATAGCACTAACTAAATACCATTGAGTTTACTTTCAATCAGTTAATTGTATCACAATATTCCCAATTAAGGTGGCCATACAAAAAAAGCATGAAAAAATAAAAACAGAGCACCCAGTCAGGTAGGGTAGCTCAGGTATGTAATCCCAGCACTTTGGGAGGCAGTAGGATTACATGAACCCAGGAGGTGAATACTACACAGTGAACTTCAATCATGCCATTGCAGTCCAGCCTGGATGACAGAGGACTACCTCAAACATGAAAAAAACTTTTAATGTTAGGCATATTTTACCAAAAATTTTAAAAGAGAAGTGGGCCGTGCGCAGTGGCTCACGCCTGAAATCCCAACACTTCTGGGAGGTCAAGGCAGTGGATCACAAGGTCAGGAGTTCAAGACCAGCCTGGACTACATGGTGAAACCCCATCTCTACTAGAAATACAAAAATTAGCCAAGTGGCACACGCCTAAAATCCCAGCTACTCTGAGGAATGAGGCAGGAGAACTGCATGAACCCAGGAGGCAGATGTTGCAGTGAGCCAAGATCGCACAACTGCACTCCAGTTTGGCGACACAGCCAGCCTCTGTTATCAAAAAAAAAAAAAAAAAAAAAAAGTGATGTATTTGCTATTGTTTGTTAAGCCACAGAATGTCTTTGGAAGGCTATACAAAAAACTGGTAAGGGCTACCTCTAGGAAAGGGGTCATCGTGGATAAAGTGGGGCTATGACAGGGATAACATTTTGGGGAAGCATTAGCTAGCAACAAATAAACAATATAAATTTTAAAACAGATCTTTAGGCCAGGTGCAGTGGCTCACGCCTGTAATCCTACCTCTTTGGGAGGTCGAGGCTGGTGGATTGCCTGAGCTCATGAGTTCAAGACTAGCCTGGGCAACATGGTGACAACTGTTTCTACTAAAATGAAAAAAATTAGCTGGGTGTGGTAGTGTGCACCTGTAATCCCAGCTACTTGGGAGGCAGAGGCTGTAGAATTGGTTAAACCTGAGAGGTGGAAATTACAGTGAGCTGAGATTGTGCCACTACACTCCAGCCTGGATGACAGGGCAGTGTGGCTCACGCCTGTAATCCCACCAAGCTGGGAGACTAAGGCGGCTGGCTGGATTACCTGAGGTCAGGAGTTTGACACCAGCTTGGCCAACATGGATAAACCCCAACTCTATTAAAAACAGAAAACATTAGCTGGGCCTGGTGGCAGGCACCCGTAACCCTGGCTACTCAAGAGGCTAAGGCAAGAGAATTACTTGAATCTGGGAGGCGGAGTTGCGCCAGTGTACTCCAGCCTAGGCAACAAGAATAAATCTCCATCTCAAATTTAATTAAAAATCTGACAAATCATACTCTAGAGTAATTAAAATAATTTAAATATGAAATGTTTCCCGATGTTCATTTTTATGTGGTACCTAGATTTATCAAATATACATGATTATTCATTTTGAGTAGCTGCCTCCTGCCACTATACTCAGCTAATTTTTCTATTTTTAGAGGAAAAGGGGTTTTACCATGTTGGCCAGACTCGTCTCAAACTCCTGACCTCAAGGAATCCACCTGCCACAGCCTCCCAAAGTGCTGGGGTAACAGGCATGAGCCACCGCACCTAGCCAGTGAATACATTTTTAAAATTTTTTATTATTTTTTTAATTTCTTAGTGAATGCATTTTTAAAAGTTAATGTTTATTTGTTCTATCTAGCTTTCTTTACATTTATTCCTTTTGCTAAAATTACTGAGTGGAAAAGGTTCATTGCTCAGTGACAGGACTGAGAAACTATCACTCCCTTACACAAAACTAGGTGGACACTCTTGCTTCAGGTAGATAGCACCGACAAGTCCTCTAGAACAAAAGCCTAGATGCTATGTAGTGACCTCAATATCACAGTGCCAGACACAAGGCCTTGTGGAGACTTGGAGGCAAGAGATCAAGCTGTTTTTTGACTCTGCCATCTAACAGTTCATGTGGCCCCTACTGCTTTGATTTTCATTTCTTAATATAGCACATAATGGCACATCATTATGTGCTATATGCACATCCACCCTCAAACACCCCAAGATCCTTGTTACTTATAGAAAAGTCAACAGAGGCTGGGCGAAGTAGCTCATGCCTGTAATCTCACCACTTTGATACGCCAAGACAGGAGGATCACCTGAGGTCAGGAGTTCGAGACCAACCTGGTCAACATGGTAAAGCCCTGTCTCTACTAAAAAAAATATGAAAATTAGCCAAGTGTGAGGGTGGGTTCCTATAATCCCAGCTACTTGGAGGCTAAGGCAGGAGAATCACTTGAAACCCAAGACGTGGAGTTTGCAGTCAGCCAAGATCGTGCCATTGTACTCCAGCCTGGCAGACAGAATGAGAATGTCTCAAAATAAATAAATAAAGTGAAATTACTGAAGAAAGTGAAGTATCACAGTGGATCAGAAATAGTTCACATACTGTTAGGCAGAATAGCCTTGCCAGAGGGGCATTCATAATGCAGCCACTAAAGATTTCAACAAACAGAAAAAAGGGCAAACCTAATCAGGCTACCAAGGCCTGTAACTGAGCATATAACCAGGGAGACAGAGCAGAATATTTTTTTTTTTTGAATGGAGACACAGTCTTGCTGTCACCCAGGCTGAAATGTAGTGGTGGGATCTCAGCTCACTGCCATCTCCACCTCCCAGGTTTCAAACAATTCTATCAAAGCCTCCAGAGCTGCCAAGATTACATACACCTGCCACTATGCCCAGCTAAATTTTTTGTATTTTTAGTAGAGACAGGGTTTCAAATGTTGGCCAGTATGGTCTCAGTCTCTTGACCTTGTGATCTGCCAGCCTCGGTGTCCCAAAGCGCTGGGATTATAGGCATGAGCCACCACGCCTGACAGACAAAGCAGAATCTTAAGATCTTCAATGTTCTTTTAAAAACAAACTTTTAAAAAGAAATTCTACTAAACAATAATAGTCTTCCTATGATGTAACAATTTTCTTTTGAGACAGGATCAAACTGTTACCCAAGGTGGAGTCAAGTGGCATGAACACAGCTGGGATTAAAGGCATGAGCCACAGTACCCAACCAAAGTAATTTTTTAAATGATTAATTTTAATACCCATTATGCATTTCACATGGCATTATGAATATTAGCAACATTCTTTAAGTGACCTATACTAATCTGTTTTAACCTATGTTGTCATAATAAATTTTTCTAAAAGCAACCCTTATCCTCTTAATATTAATCTCCTGGAAAGATAACAAAGTAGGAAATACAGAAATTATTACATAGTTACACTCAGATCAACAACCTACTGAAGATTCATTGAAGAACTTGGACTTACCCTTCCGAAAGGCTCAAAGATTCCACGAAGCATGTCTTCAGTTATATTAAAGTGTAATGAACCCACATAAAGCCTCATAGGTCCAGCACTTCCCTTTTGTAAATTGTTTGCCATTGCTGCAGCTCTATTTTTTTCTGCCTAAAAGACAAAATGCACATCACACAGAGCTAACACACAGTAGCTTCTCTGGGGTAAACCACACAGATTTGCACAACAACTGATTCAAAGTTTACAGTGATAAAAATATCACCCTGGCCGGGCGCGGTGGCTCAAGCCTGTAATCCCAGCACTTTGGGAGGAGGCCGAGGCGGGTGGATCACGAGGTCAAGAGATCGAGACCATCCCGGTCAACACGGTGAAACCCCGTCTCTACTAAAACTACAAAAAATTAGCTGGGCATGGTGGCGCGTGCCTGTAATCCCAGCTACTCAGGAGGCTGAGGCGGGAGAATTGCCTGAACCCAGGAGGCGAGGTTGCGGTGAGCCGAGATCGCGCCATTGCACTCCAGCCTGGGTAACAAGAGCGAAACTCCGTCTCAAAAAAAAAAAAAAAAAAAGTACAGTTTCTATATGAGACAATGAATATACCTGGAGATGATTATTGATTATTCCATCACTATAAATTTAATAGCATTGAACTGTATACTTTAAAAATGGTTAAAATGCTAAATGTGTGTGTATAAAAGTACAATGAAAATAATTTTATTTATTTAGAGTTTTATTTTTTTGAGACAGGGTCTCACACTATGTTGCCCAGGCTGGTCTTGAACTTCTGATATTAAGTGATCATCCTTCCTTCTCAGCCACTAGAGATTGCTAGGGATACAGCACATCCCATATAGACACAATCAATATTCATTAAAATTAACACTCTTGATTTGTATAACCAAATGTACAGCTGTTTGTGATAAGGGGCATATGCCAGAACCAAACTATATCACCAAGCAAACATGTTGAGTCAGTCGTCATCTCTCCATAACCAACAGAACAAAAGTTGTCCATTTACATTCTAACGCAGGCTTCTCTTGTAACAAACTGGCGTACATTTGGTAGTACTGCTCCTAAAACAGTTTGTTACATGAATTAAGTACCTCATTTAATATGCTACTTCTCAGCCCTTAGTCCTGCCAATCCACACCCAGCTACTAAGTTTGTCTTCCAACATACGAAATAATCTGGGCAATTATCTTCTTATCCAGTTTACAATCACATTATACTCAATAATTACTACTTAATGTAAAGCAGAACCTTCTAAAAACAAAAAAAACGCGGACAATAGGGCCAGTGCAGTGGCTCAGGCCTGTATTACCAGGACTTTGGAAGGCCGACATGGGCGGATCACTTGAGGCCAAGAGTTCAAGACCAGCCTGGCCAAAGCAAAACCCCATGTCTACTAAAAATACTAAAAATTAGCTGAGTGTGGTGGTACATGCCTGTAACCCCAACTACTTGGGAAGCTGAAGGACAAGAATCACTTCAACCAAGGAGACAGAAGTTGCACTGGGCCAAGATCACACAACTGCACTACAACCTATGTGACATAGTGAGACTGTATTTAAACAAAAAAGAGGATAATACTTTGGCCAAGGTTACGTAACAGCTTACCTAGCAGTGAAACTGATATTTCAAGTCACAATTGGTTATAAAGCGAATAAAGAACTTCACAAAATTATGTAAAGTCAGTCTGATTGGCCACAGGGTCCCACGCCTCTAATATGAGCATGTTAAGAGACCAAAACATGATTTAGAGGCTCCTCTCTAAATCATGAAATATCAGTCAGGCATGGTTGGTTGATGCCTGTGTTCCCAACTACTTTGGGGACTGAGCTGGAAGGATCACTTGAGCCTAGCTAGGAAGTTGAGGCTGTAAATGTGTCACTGTCCTCCAGCCTGGGCAACTGAGCCTGTCTAAAAACAAGTTAAATTTGATAAAGTAACCAGATTATTAAAAAAGAGTTATAGAGTATTTAAGCTGTTTGAAAACCAACCAATGTGACTACTGTACTTCATTTTGCTCAAAATATTAAATACTGTCTTTGCTATTTAAAAAAATCAAGGCCGGGCATGTTGGCTCACGCCTGTAATCCAAGCACTTTGGAGGCCAAGGCAGGCGGATCACCTGAGGTCAGGAGTTCAAGACTAGCCTGGCCAACATGGTGAAACCCTGTCTTTAAATAAAAAATTTTAAAAAATTTTTTAGAAGGCCGGGCGCGGTGGCTCAAGCCTGTAATCCCAGCACTTTGGGAGGCCGAGGCGGGTGGATCACGAGGTCAAGAGATCGAGACCATCCTGGTCAACATGGTGAAACCCCGTCTCTACTAAAAATACAAGAAATTAGCTGGCATGGTGGCACGTGCCTGTAATCCCAGCTACTCAGGAGGCTGAGGCAGGAGAATTGCCTGAACCCAGGAGGCGGAGGTTGCGGTGAGCCGAGATCGCGCCATTGCACTCCAGCCTGGGTAACAAGAGCAAAACTCCGTCTCAGAAAAAAAAAAAAATTTTAGAAAGTAAAAGAATCGAGTCATTAATTAGTGACAAAAATCAGTAACTTGTTTCTGAAGTCTCCCCCCACCCTCCACCCCTGTGGGAAGAAGAGACAGAAGAGGGCCCTACAGGCAGTGTGGTGGGATCTTGTACATGGCACAGAGGCAGAAAAAAAAAACAGTCGTTTGTTTATTTATTTATTTATTTATTTATTTTTGAGACGGAGTTTCACTCTTGTTACCCAGGCTGGAGTGCAATGGCGCGATCTCGGCTCACCGCAACCTCCGCCTCCTGGGTTCAGGCAATTCTCCTGCCTCAGCCTCCTGAGTAGCTGGGATTACAGGCACGCGCCACCATGCCCAGCTAATTTTTTGTATTTTTAGTAGAGACGGGGTTTCACCATGTTGACCAGGATGGTCTCGATCTCTTGACCTCGTGATCCACCCGCCTCGGCCTCCCAAAGTGCTGGGATTACAGGCTTGAGCCACCGCGCCCGGCCCCGTTTGTTTATTTATACAAATGAATACAAATCAATTCTAATGAAAGGGTCATATTATATAATCCACAGAATGATACATTCCAACTTCTCCCCATCCATAAGAACTATTAAATGCTGTCCAAGTGCAGTGTGGCCAAAGTGATCCTAACACCTCAAGAGGCCCAGGCCAGAGGATCACTTTATTTATTTACTTTTTTAATAGAGATGGAGTTCCACCATGTTGGTTAAGCTGGTCTTCAACTCCTGACCTCTCAGGCGATCTACTTACCTTGGCTTCCCAAAGTGCTGGGATTATAGGCGTGAGCCACAGCGCCCAGCACAGAGGACCACTTTAGTCCGAAAGTTTGAAACCAGCCTGAACATCATGGCAAGACCCTGTTCCTTCAAAAAATTTAAAACTTACCTGGCAATGGTGGCATGTACCTGTAGTCCTGGCTACTCAGAAGACTGAGGAGAAAAGACTGTTTGAGCCCAGCAGGTCAAGGCTACAGTGGGCTGTGATTATGTCACTGCACTCTGATCTCTGAGACCATTATCTCAAAAACAAGGCCAGGTGCGGTAGTTCACGTCTGTAATCACAGCACTTTGGAAGGCCAAGGAGGGCGGATCACCTGAGGTCAGGAATTCAAGAGGAGCCTGGCCAACATGGTGAAATCCCATCTCTACTATAAATACAAAAAGTAGGCCAGGTATGAGGGGTCACGGCTGTAATCCCAGCACTTTGGGAGGCTGAGGCAGGTGGATCACAAAGTCAGAAGGTTCAAGACCAGCCTGGCTAAGAATGGTGAAACTCCATCTCTACTAAAAATACAAAAAATTAGCTGGGGGTGGTGGCGCGCACCTGTAATTTCAGCTACTTAGGAAGCATAGGCAGAGAACTGCTTGAAATCAGGGGATGGAGGATTCAGCGAGCCAAGATCACACCACTGCACTCCAGCCTGGGAAATAAAAGCAAGACACTATCTCAAAAAAAAAAAAAAAAAAAAAAAAAAGTAGCTGAGCATGGTGACAGTCTCCTGTAATCCCAGCTACTCAGAGGGCTGAGTCAGAAGAATCTCTTGAACCCAGGAGACGGCGGTTGTAGTGAGCTGAGACCAGTCCATTGCACTCCAGTCTGGGTTACAGAGTGAGACTCTGTCTCGAAAAAAACCAAAAACCAAACAACAAAAGGGCAACACAAGGAGATAAGACAGGATGACGGTCTTGAGAAAACTATCAAAGTAAGCAAGATAAAGTTTAAAAAAAAAAAAGGTCCTTGAGAACATCCAACTCCTAAGATAATGAGTCGCAGTTACTGTAGATGAGGCACAGGACATGAAAGCACGATACCATGCAACAAGAGGCTTTCAAGACCATCAATAATCAATCACTTAACCAGGAAAAAAATTACCTGTGATGCCTGTACTATGATTGGCACTCCTAAAACTCGTTGGCCAGTTAATCCTATTGCTAGAGGCACCGAGCTAACATCAACAAACTCCACATAAGCAATTCCTTTGGAACGTCTTGAATTTCTGTCAGAAATCATCCTCACATCTCGAACCTAGAAAGAAAACAGTTCTGTTTGTGCAACCATCCATTGTAAGCCATGTACATATAATACTTTCAAGAAGAGACATTAATGTTGAAGAATGAAGGCATTATGAATTTCTTTAAAAAAGTAAATCTGTAGGACAATTCCTATATTCTATCCATATCTTTAAAAAAATGCGTAGTAACATTTATCAACTCTAATACTGTAAGATGCAAAACAGAAACATTACCACAAACAAATACTGCTACTAAATCAAAAGATTTGATGTTTAAATGTTTTCTCTTGCAATATCTACCTATTTGACCTCCCTACACAGGCTAAGATTACCTTTCCTACTGTAGAGAAAAACTCTTCCAAATCCCTTGGTCGAATTCTTGCTGCCAGCTGCATACAGAAGACTGTCCTTGCATCTCTTTCCTCAGGAGTTAGATTATCAATAGGTTCCCTAATAGGAGTAAAAAATATAAAATTAGTTTTATAACAGATTATTTTAAAATAATTTTTTATTTCTCCATATATTTCAACAGTTCTTCAGGTACAGGTACTTTTTGGTTACATACATGAGTTCTTTAGTGGTGAATTCTGAAATTTTAGTGTACCTGTTACCTGAGCAGTATACACTGTATCCCTCACTCCTTTCCCAACTCCTCCTCAGTATTTTCATCTTCAGAAATTAGGTCTTGCTATGTTGCACAGGTTTGCCTTGAACCACTAAGCAATCCTTTTACCCTAGAACCCCAACATGCTGGGATAACAAGTGTGAGCCACCACACGTGACCTAAAACAAGTGTCAAACATTAATTTTCACAGAATGAGTAAGCTGTGAAACTAGTCTGTCATATTCCCAAGCCTATTTTCAGTAAGATCTATTGACAAAAAATTTCCATAAAACTATTCAATTTAACTCAATTCCTTCTGAAGAATAAAGTCTACTGTTTCTTATAATCACATCTTACATGGCATTGGCACAGAAGTCTAATGTCCTTACAATCTCAAAAAGGGTAATTTTTCTAAAGAAAGGATCAACCAGAAGCCTGTTTAATAACAGTCATAAAAATAACATTAGACCAATCACAAATGCCAGATTGATATAAAATCAGTGTAATGGATGCTTCCTTACAACAAAACCATAAAGTTATAAAGAGAATTAAGTTTGATAATCACAATGGCAAACTTGAAGTGAAACCCCAAATGATTCCAAAAATTCTATTTATTTTACAAATTTAGATTGTCTATTAATATCATCTCTGTTACAAAATACCAATTAGTTTAATGTTTTAAGTCAATCCTTAAAGATGTTAAGCCTAAACATGCTCTTTTCCATTTTTTGGACACTCTCACAGGATGTACAAGTGGTGGGTGTGTTTGGATGCTTTCTCTTGCATTATCACTCCACCTATAAGATTTGTCACAAAACCTTTTTTTTATTCTGAGACAGAGTCTCACTCTGTCACCCAGGCTGGAGTGCAGTGGCATGGTCTTGGCTCACCACAACCTCCGCCTCACAGGTTCAAACGATTCTCCTGCCTCAGCCTCCCAGCTAGCTAGAATTACAGAACATGTCACTATGCCTGTTTAATTTTTGTATTTTCAGTAAAGATGGGGATTCATCATGTTGGTCAGGCTGGTCTTAAACTCCTGACCTTGTGACCTGCCTGACTAGGCCTCCCAAAGTGCTGGGACTACAGGCATTAGCCACCCTGCCTGGCACAAAAGCTTTTAAGGCCAAGAGTAGTAGTGGGCAGACTGCTCGGCTCAGGAGTTTCAGACCAAACTGGGCAACACGGCAAAACCTTGTCTCTACAAACAAACAAACAAAAATTAGCAGGGTATGGTGGCTACAACTTATACTCCCAGCTACTAGGGAGGCTGAGTTGGGTGGCATTGCTTATGCCCAGCTGTTAAGAAACTACAGCGAACCATAAATGCATCATGGCACTCTAGCCTTGGTGACAAAATGAAATCCTGCCTCAAAGAAAAGAAAAGCTTTTTGCTGGGCCCCACGGTGGACAGATCACCATGTCAGGAGTTCGAGACCAGCCTAACATGGTTTTGAAACCCCTTCTCTTTTTTTTTTGAGACGGAGTTTCACTCTTGTTACCCAGGCCGGAGTGCAATGGCATGATCTCGGCTCACCGCAACCTCTGCCTCCTGGGCTTAGGCAATTCTCCTGCCTCAGCCTCCTGAGTAGCTGGGACTACAGGCACGTGCCACCATGCCCAGCTAATGTTTTGTAGTTTTAGTAGAGACGGGGTTTCACCATGTTGACCAGGATGGTCTCGAACTCTTGACCTCATGATCCACCCGCCTCGGCCTCCCAAAGTGCTGGGATTACAGGCTTGAGCCACCGCGCCCAGCTTGAAACCCCTTCTCTACTAAAAATACAAAAAATTAGCCAGGCATGGTGGCACATGCCTGTAATCCCAGCTACTCAGGAGGCTGAGGCAGGAGAATTGCTTGAAATTGGGAGGTGGAGGTTGCAGTGAGGCAAGACTGCAACACTGCACTCCAGCCTAGCAAGTGAGACTCAGTCTCGGGAAAAAAAAAAAAGATTAGCCGGGTGTGGTGGCAGGGGTCTGTAATCCCAGCTACTCAGGAGGCTGAAGCAGGAGAATCACTTGAGCCAGGGAGGCAGAGACTGCAGTGAGCCACGATCACAACACTGCACTCCACGACCTGGGCAACAGAGCAAGACTCCATCTCAAAAAAAAAAAAAAAAAAAAAAAAAACACCTTGTAAATTATAATTAAGACTGACTTACCAAATCCTAGAATTCTACAGTATAGCTGAATACACCATACAATAAAGTTATAAGATAGTCTTAAAGGAAATGAAAAATCTGAGTATAACAATGCTACCACCTGGCCAGGTGCAAAGAATGGTTCACGCCTGTAATCCCCCCACTTTGGAAGGCCAAGGCGGGTGGATTCCTGAGGTCAGGAGGTCCAGACCAGCCTGACCAACATGGCAAAACAGTCTCTACTAAAAATACAAAAATTAGCCAGGCGTGTTGGTACATGCCTGTAGTCCCAGCAACTCAGGAGGCTGAGGCAGGAGAATCTTTAGAATCAGGAAATGGAGGCTGCAGTGAGCTGAGATCACACCACTGTACTCCGGCCTAGGCAACAGAGTGAGACTCTGCCTCAAAAAAAAAAAAAAAAAAAAAAAAAATCTACAATACTGCCCAGGGGTGGTGGCTCACACCTATAAACCCAAGAGAGGCAGGTGGATCTTGAGGTCAGGAGTTTGAGACCAGCCTAGCAAACATGGTGAAACCCAGTCTCTACTAAAAATACAAAAATTGGCGGGGTGTGGTGGCGGGCACGTGTAATCCCAGCTACTCGGGAGACTGAGGCAATAGAATTGCTTGAACCTGGGACGTAGAGTGGCAGAGTTTGCAGTGAGCTGAGATTGTGCCACTGCATTCTAGCCTGGGCAATACAGCGAGACTCTGTCTCAAAAAACAAACAAAAAACCACAATGCTACCGCCTAACACAATATTCTTTGAACCAAAATAGTAGACTGAACAGATACAATTCTTACTTTTTTCTTTTTTTTTTTTTTTTTTTTTTTTTTTTTTTTTTCTTTTCTTTTTTTTTTTTTACAATTCTTATTTTTAAGCATAAAATAATCTATGGAAACATTCAAGAACCTAGGAGTACCAACTCAAATCACTAAGATTTTTGAGGTGACATACTTTTCCTCAGGTAAGAGAGCCAAACGGGAAAACCTACTTTTCTACTTTAGGCTACTTCAAATAGCTCATTATTTATGCCAAAAGTAAGTCTAAAGTTTTCTGTAACTGCTATCTTGCCAACACAAAGAAATGTTTGACATGAATATGCTAATTGCCCAGATTTGATCATTACACGCTGTATAGATATATCAAAACATCACTGTATCCCATAAATATACACAATCATTATATGTCCATTAAAAATAAGAAGTGCAGCTGCGTACAGTGGCTCACGACAGCAATTCCAGCACTTTGGGAGGCCGAGGTGGGCAGATCATCGCAGTCAGGAGTTTGAGACCAGCCTGGCCAACAAGGTGAAACCCCATCACTACTAAAAATACAAAAATTAGCTGGGCATGGTGGTAGGTTCCCGTAATCCCAGCTACTCAGGAGGCTGAGGCAAGAGAATCGCTTGAACACAGGAGGCGGAGGTTGCAGTAACCAAGATAGCGCCACTGCACTCCAGCCAGGGAACAAGACCGAGACTATGTCTCTTCATCTCCCCCCCCCAAAAAAAGGGGGGGGAGAGGGCAAGAAAAATTTCCTTTAAGTAAAACAGGGAAATAAGATCACATTAAAATAACTTTTGTGGCTGCGCATGATGGATCACACCTGAAATGCCAACACTTTGGGAGGCCAAGGCAGGTGGATTATCTGAGGTCAGGAGTTTGACACCAGCCTGGCCAACAGGGTGAAAACCCATCAATGCTAAAATACAAAAAGTTGCAGGGCATGGTGGTGTATATCTGTATTCCCAACTACTTGGGAGGCCGAGGCATGAGAATCGCTTGAACCCAGGAGGCAGAGGTTGCAGTGACCCAAGATGGCGCGCGCTACTGCACTCCAGCCTATGTGACACAGACTACGTCTCAAAATAAATAAATAACTTTTGCTTCCTTTTAATTACATGAAATTAAAGTGAAAGCTACTGAAAAATCAGTAGAAATTCACTTTATTTTAAAGTACTAGAACTGTAAAAGGAAGCAAAAGCAAAATTTAATATGGTCCTAATTACTAAATATCATTAAATTTAACAGTACCATAAGCTGCAAAGCTTCATTCAGAGCTAAAGGCTTTAAAGAAGAAAACTACCTCACAGGGCTCTTGTCTTTTCTGAATGGACTTTTGCTTCGGGAACGTCGTCTGCTGCAAAGTTAAAAAGTTTCAGAAGTTATCCAAACGAGTACAGCATGTCAGTTCCTTGAAAAACAATTTAAACAATTCAGAAGTATGTTTAAAAACCTTAATTTGATGCTATGAGGCAACCCAATCTTTCCTCGGATGGCACTGTTAAATTTTGGTCCGGAGCTAAAAAGGAAACACAAAATTACACTAGTTACAGGTTTAGGGTCTTGCTAAGATCGCATTCATGCGCTCTCCAGCAAGACTAACATTGTTTAGGTTGCTGCTTTTCCACCTCAGTTATGAAGAGGAAACAAAAATACTTAGATGTCTCTTAACTTTATCCCAGGCAAGCTGCCCTTGAATTTATCCATCCTGGACCACTGAGAGGTGCCAAGACCAAAGGTTACAGCCTCAAAATTTTCAGATTCTGAAACTGCACACACCCATTTTCAGTCTATAGATTATCTTTTTAAGCTACATATATATAAATACAGTCTTGAGAATTTAAAAACACACACACATATAAAAAATAAATCCCTCTGAACTTCCTCACACCACCAGTTTACTATGGTTAACAATTTGGTGTGTATCTTTGCAGAACCTCTCTTGGGAATATGTGTGTGTACATGTACATATACAATATTCACACGTCTTCTTTTTGAAAGACTTATTTTAAAAACTAAAGACAATTTTTTAGTCATGCAACTTAGGTATTTCCCCATTCAACAGTAACTCTTACACAGCATGACACCATTTAATACGTTATACTTCAGTTGTTTCAAAATATTCCATCATGAAGATGTTAAGGTAATTTACCAATTCTGTATAAAACTTTTTGAGGATTTGTCATGACTAAATGAAAACACTTTTTGAGTGTTTTCAAAAAGATCACAAAGGTAATTATTATGTAATAACAGTTTTTGTGACTTTAATAAAGACCAAGCTAATTAATAAAGACCAGGCTAACTTAAAGGGGCTGCTAGCCAGTTGTCCCTCAGTGCTCATCCTGCTATCTTATTCCAGAAGAACAGCGAAATAAATAAATACGTTGCGGCCTGTGATCCACACACTTGAATTAGTTTTCATGGACACTACGCCTACTTACGACGTGCAAGTAGTTCCAAATAAAACACTTTATTAAACTGGTCCCTTGCAATTCAGACTAACAGTGATGACTGAAAATCATTTACTGGATCAAGTTCTCAGGTAATTAGTTATAAGGTATTTTCGTTCCCCTTCAATTAAAAAATATTATCAGTTATAACCTCAAACCCAACATAAGAGCTAAGTTATTTTTAAATAAAGTTAGACCAGGATCCACCAACAGAAAGTACCCATCACTCAAAGGAATTAAGCTAATTCCCTTCCCTACATTTAGTTCATCCTGGTAAAAAGATTTAACATAATCCCATTTTAAGAATGCAATGAATCTTGGTAAATGGAACAAAAGCTGAGAATTTCCTACTGCCATATAGCATTCAGAATTAGAACAGCATTGCGGTCCTGTGTTCAGCTATCAAAAGTTAATGAAATAAGCAGAATAAGGGAACCCATAAAACATGAAGTTCAGTTTTATTTTAAAACTAAAAGAGCTAGAATGCGAATTCATGTAATGCCAAAACATTTCATGAATCCATTAAGTCCTCTGAGAACTTTACATTTTTTTTTTCTCATTCATTACTTATTAATAACTTATCTGCAACTTGTTATCTCCTTAAAACGTTAGAAAACAAATGCTTAGCTTAGTGGGTTAAGTAACTCACCAAGTGATTTAGGCCTTTGAATCCCATCCTTAACCATTCAACTTTTAAAGTTATAAGAGTTATTTTTAATATATTCCAGAGTTTACAGCAGTGTGTTTATTAAGAGGAATTAACCTCATAAAGCATTAAGGGCTGTTAGATTGAATCCTCAAAACTGTAAGTGGTTTTGTAATATACTTATTTACCAACCATAATGAATCTGTTTCCCACTTTAAATACCTAAATCCGAATTTCTGGTGATTTAATCTTCAAAACAATTTTAGTTTAGAACACCTTTTACTATTATTAACAAACCTTAAATACAGATGAGCTCAAAAAAGGATCCTGATAAAGACACACACACAACAAATTTACAACTGGCCTGTCTTTTCAGCTGATAACAGCCACAGTTACAAGACATTTTACTTACTGTTTACTAATTACCAATGTATAACTTAGTATTCATCAGAAAGTTACAATTTTAAGTAAATATATACTTAGCAAATACTGTAACAGCTCAGACACTGTTAAGTTTCTCAGATATCTGGGCACTACAATGTCATCTTTTTCAAGCACTCCAGTGCTTTATTATATTTTCCATTGATTGGCATACAACTTACAAACAGTTTAACAGAAAATAATCTGTATGCCTAGTAAAAGCAAATTTTTACATATTTGTCTATGCACTATATTTTCAATTTAGAAGCATTCAATGCCAATATTCTTAATTCAATACTTTTTAATCAATCATTTAAAAAAATTCACAGTTTCAAACTACTCAAGTTAAATTGCTATCTGAATACCCAGAGAGTAACCCTCAAACCAAAATCGTAACAATAATTACATACTAAGGACTTCTGTAGCGGCCTCTAAATCTCCGATCTCGACTTCTTGAGCGGCTCCGTCGTCTTTCTTTGCTTCTACTTCGCTTCCTTTCACGGCTTTTGCTCTTTTTCCTTTCTCTATCTCTACTTCGCTTCCGTTCCTTACTTTTGCTTCTCTTTCGTTCATGACTACGACTTCTGCTCTTGCTTTTTTTCCTCCTGAGAAAAAAAAAATTCAGCATTATCACGCCGGTTTAAGAACCCACCATAACATAGTACCTTTTATGGCCAGAATCTTTTTTGTATCTTTTCATAAATTTATTCGGCTAGTTTTACTATGATATGATGGTACATAATCATACTCAAAAAAACTCCTGTAATCCCAACACTTTGGGAGGTTGAGTGGGTGGATCAAGAAGTCAGGAGTTCAAGACCAGGCTGGCCAACGTAAGAACTAAGTTATTAAGCCTGCCTCTAACAAAAACACAGAAACTAGCCAGGCGTGGTGGCGTGCGCCTATAGTTCCAGCTACTCAGGACGCTGAGGCAGGATAACTGCTTGAACCCAGAAGGTGGAGGTTGCAGTGAGCCAAGATTGCACCACTGCACTCCAGCCTGGGCAACACAGCAAGACTCTGTCTCCCAAAAAAAAAAAAAAAATTGCCAGGTATGATAAACAATATCCCACCTTTGCCTATATTACTGAAAATCAGCAGACAAGACATTATTTGAAAGACACCATCCTCTAAGAGCAGGAACTGCAATGATCTCCAGAGATTTAACTATAGCTTTAAAAAGGAAAGGGACTTGTAGGCAAGTACAAATCAAAATGCGAACCTTTAGTTTGTCATACAACAGGCAAACAAAAGCATTACTGTAATCCAGAAGATATTAATAAAACAAATTTACAATAGAGTAATTCACATTTAAGTACTAGGACTGGTTCATTTTTAAAAATTTTCATCAAATACAGTAATGTATCATTAAGTCAATTTTGCACCAATTTACACAAGGAAATATTTTATACTTTCAAAGGGTCATACAGACATAAACATTTCGGTTTTCATGGGCAAAACTGTAATGACAAAGGACACTAAGAACCAATGGAGCCCGGGCGCAGTGGCTCATGCCTGTAATCCAGCACTTTGGGAGGCCGTGGTGGGCAGATCAATTGAGGTAGGGAGTTCAACACCAGCCCAGCCAACATGGTGAAACCCCGCCTCTACCAAAAATACAAAAATTAGCTGGGTCTGGTGGTGTGTGCCAGTAATCCCGGCTACTTGGGAGGCTGAGGCAGAAAAATCGCTTGAATGCGGGAAGTGGAGGCTGCGGTGAGCTGAAACCATACCATTCCGCTCCAGCCTGGGCAACAAGAGCAAAACTCCATCTCAAAAAAAAAGCTGGGTGCAGTGGCTCACACCTATAACCTCAGCACTCTGCCAGGCCGAGTCAGGTGGATAACCTGAGGTCAGGAGTTCAAGACCAGCCTGGTCAACATGGTGAAGCCCTGTCTCTACTAAAAATACAAAACAGTAGGCCGAGCGTGGTGGATCACGCCTGTAATCCAAGCACTTTGGAGGCCAAGGTGGGCGGATCACCTGAGGTCAGGAGTTCAAGACCAGCCTGACCAACATGGTGAAACCCGTCTTTATTTTAAAAAAAAAAAAAAAAAAAAAAAAAGTAGCTGGGCATGGTAGCGCATGCCTTTATTCCCAGCTACTCGGGAAGCAGGAGAATCACTTGAACATCGGAGGTGGAGGATGCAGTGAGCAGAGATGGGGCCACTACACTCCAGCCTGGGAGACAAAGTGCCACTCTGAATCAAAAACAAAAAGAACTAATAGAACTAATGCAGTAATACATTTTGACATTCCCAGACTTTAATGTGACCATTTCAAATACTTCCTAAAGTCACAGTGAATACACCAGAAACTGGAGTACGCCATTTTAAAGCCAGTTTATAGAAGCCTGTGGATATGCAATCAAACCCAATGATCATCTTGACCTTCACAGATCTTTTTAAAATCTCAAACTGAAAACCAAAAACCCTGTATCTTCCTGTTCACTTCCGTATTCTTCACAGTATACCACCAATTCATAATTAAATCATAATCTATACCTCTGTGTCATCACCCAAATTTTAGAGGTGCCTTCAGATATTTCAATATAAATTGAAAGACATTTCAAAATCAACTTATTCCACTAAAACATCAATTTGTAGTGGCTTAAAAATTAAACATTTTGACAATTCTATATCATTATCTGTTATGTGGTTGTTTATTCCTTATCAAAGCAAAGTTACATAGCACAAGAGCAATTGAGGTCTGCCTCAGAGAACCTGTAAGCAGGTCATCTTAGAGTGCATTGAAAATAGAAAATGAAGACACCCACCTTCTGGAATCTTGAAACCCACACTCCAATCACAAGGAGATGTAGAGCTTTCCAAGGAGGCAGAAACTTTGTCTAAAATTTCAAGATAATCCACCTGACTGTCAGAAATGTATATATGCTAAGTAGCACATGACAGAAAATTAGGCTACACTCATTATTTAAATAGAACTCATCAAAGCAACGCCCAGATGGGCAACAGGTAACACTCCAATTCTGTTGCCTAAAAAACGTAACACTATCTCTGTGACACTATTCTAACGGAAGAATTCCGTGAGATTTCTAAAACCTAAAGTCCTGAATATAATAAATAGGGGACAAGGTAAAAAGTCCACACCCCTCAAAAACAGACAAAGTTTTTGTTCTGCTCATAGATGGGCTACCGCAAGAGAGGCAACCAGCCTGTTCACCTCTCACAGGACCCAAAACTTATTCTGCCAAAAGAAAATACTGGAAAATTGGAGAGCTAATTTTAGTTTATGGTCTTATAGGACTTTTTGTAAACAAGTCCCCATCCACATCTGAAGGCAACCCCAGACAGGTAAAAAGACAGCAACATACTAAGACATTCGGAAAATACAGTATTTTGCATAAAAGCCCCGAGAAAAATATAAGGGTGCAAGAAACCAGTGTACTACCAGCTTCAAAGAGCATTTATTACATTAACTAAAGAAGGGTTTTCAAAATCCACACTAATAGTCAAATCCTGTTACAACTTAAAAAGGACTTTCCAAAGTCTTTAATGGCAGTGAAATTTTGTACTGAACATCATTGAAGTAAATGGTCCACTGGGCTGGGCCTTTGGACTTTTTGGTTATATGGCCTCTGCTGTAAAGGTGTTTTGCTATAACTGGATTTGACCTCTTCCATGTAAGAAGATCTAAAATTTAAATGCAAAGTATTCTGGAAAATAAGAAGAAAAATAGAAAAGTCATTTATTCCAAAATTTATAGATAATCCACACCACAGTAGCCAATATATTTCAACTGTGTCACTTTAATGTTATCTTTTATCGAGTAATTCTCTAAAGAGCTTAACGGAATGGACGCTGATTTAGACTTTGCAAAACTGGTTACTTTAACAAATAATATTCCCATGAGCACAAGCTCAGGCACTTAGGATGCATACTTTGAGGTCTTGCAAAACTCAGGTTTACAGCTCTTCAGAAAGCAGGCTGACAACCAATTTGTGTCACAAAAAACTTTGTTGCTTTTATTATTCTAGGATACAATGAAATGTATGTTGAGAATCAAAAGTATACAACTAAAAAACAAATTTAGTCAGTCAACTCAGTTTCTCAGAATATGCATTTTTCTCCTACCTAACAAGCTATATAGCTCAATATGGCTTTTAAGACAATGAAGTTTTACAATGTAAAATGTAACATGGCACTTTCCTTTGGTTAGGAAATTTAATTTAGTACTAAAGGTTAAAAGCAAAGGCAAAATGTTTTACATGTTCTCTATATATTCCTAAATACAAAGATTTTCTTCCAGGTACATTAAAATGAATTTCAAAGATAAAGTTCCTTTACAAAAATCAAGAGTCCTGATTGAACAAGGGAGTCATTTATTTCATCATCTATAATTGATGAGAAGTCTGACCAAGTATTTTAAGATTACTAGACAAAGTGTTTTGAAGGGGTCTTCCCTTAAACAATCATATGGTTAAAGAAAATTGTCCATTCTTCTATTTAGTCCTATAGTACTCTACATTAGACAAAGGCCACCGAACGTCGCACATGGACAGCTTAACGCTCAACTCCCTTATAAAAGCTTGTAGCCTTAATGAGGATAAAAACAAGTAGAAACAGGATACGACCTTAGTGGCAAAGAGTGAAATGAGAGAATGTTACAACAATGAAGGTCTGTACCCAACAGTTATGTTCTTATCCTTCTGGCACTTGAGGCGAAATCATTAGTTAACCACTAGGGCTGACACATACATTAGACAATTTATGTCACTTTATATAAATAAGCCTTCCTGGGTTTTCTTTTGATTAGAGAATTGCAAAATAGAAACATTAGGAAACCATTACTTTGGCAGAAGGTCTAAAACCAGATGACATAAATCATGTGATGACTGGTTGGTTGCATCAGATGACATCAGAACTAAACCCAATCTGATCCCCACAACTTCTTTCGATTGGTGAGGAACTATCAATGATTCCCAACCAAGCTTACACTAGAAAAAAGGAGGTCATTTTCTAAAAATTCCATCATTTTTAATCCATTACATTATTTTGGGGGAAGTACAAAAAAAAAATTGGCTTATCAAGCCTTGAATAATCCTACATAAAATTTTCTCATCTATTTTATGAATTTTATCCACCTTCCTACTATAGTTGTAGTGACAATAACTGAGGTCCTTACTATAAAGCATTTAGGGCTCTTAGGAAAAGCCAAAAAGAAATCAAGAAAGTGGCTATTTTTCTCTTTTTCATTACTATAAGGTCATAAGTATGACAGATTTGTCTGAGACAGAGTCTCACTCTGTCACCAGGCTGGAGTCCAATATGGAGATCTCAGCTCATTGCAACCTCTACCTCCCAGGTTCAAGGGATTCTCCTGCTTCAGCCTCCCGAGTAGCTGGGACTACAGGCATGTGCCACTACATCCAGCTAATTTTTGTATTTTTAGTAGAGACGGGGTTTCACCATGTTGGCCAGGCTGGTCTTGACCTTGTGACCAGACCAACTCGGCCTCCCAAACATCACAGGCGTGAGCCACCCCACCCAGCCCAGATTTTTTTTAAGATGTAGTCTTGGCCAGGCACAATAGCTCATGCCTGTAATCCCAGTACTCTGGGAGGCTGAGGCAGGTGGACCACTTGAGGTCAGGAGTTTGAGACCACCCTACCCAACAAGGTGAAACAACATCTCTACTAAAAATACAAAGCTAGCCGGGCATGGTGGTACATGCCTGTAATCCCAGCTACTCAGGAAGCTGAGGCAGGAGAATCACTTGAACCCAGGAGGCAGAGGTTTCGATGACCCGAGATTGCACCATTGCACTCCAGCCTGGACAACAAGAACAAAATTCCGTCTCAAAAAACAAACAAACAAACAAGGATGCCTGTAATCCCAGCTGTTCGGGAGGCTAATAAGGCAGAATTGCTTGAACCCGGGAGGCGGAAGTTGCAGTGAGCTGAGATCACATCACTGCACTCCAGCTTGGGTGACAAAAGCAAAACTCCATCTCAAAAAAAAAAAAAAAAAAAAAAAAAAAGGAGCCCCCCTCTGTGACACAGGCAGGAGTGCAGTGGTGCAATCTTGGCTCATTGCAACCTCCACCTCTGGGGTTCAAGTAATTCTCCTACTTCAGCCTCTTGAGTAGCTGGGACTGCAGGCACATACCACCACACCCAGATAATTTTTGTATTTTTAGGAGACAGGGTTTCACCAATGTTGGCCAGGCTGGCCTGGAACTCCCGGCCTCAAGTGATCTGCCTGCCTTGGTCTCGCAAAATGCTGAGACTATACAGGCATGAGTCACCACAGCCTGTCCGACAGAATGTTTTAATATGGCACCATAAAAACAGACAAATGAAACAATTTAATGTTTACAACAAGACCACATATTAAGAATCGCTAACCTTAGAGCTCTTCAAAAACTAATATACTCCAACCTTATAAAGTGGATCTCGGCTGGGCTCAGTAGCTCACGTGTGTAATCCCAGCACTTGGGGACACTGAGGCGGGCAGATCAGGAGGTCAGAAGTTCAAGACCAGCCTGCCCAACAAAATGAAACCCCGTCTCTACTGAAAATACAAAAATGAGGGAAGCATGGTGGTGAACATCTATAGTCCCAGCTACTAGGGAGGCTGAGGCAAAAGAATCGCTTGAAGGGTGGGTGGGGGCGGAGGCTCTGGTGAGCTGAGCAACTCCAGTCTAAGAAACAGAGCAAGACTCAGTCTTAAAAAAAAAAAAAAAAAAAAAAAAAAAAAAAAAAAGAATCGTCTGAAGCCAGGAGGCGGAGGCTGCAGTGAGCTCAGATCCCACCACTGCACCGCCAGTCTAGGCAACAGAGCAAGAGTCCATCTCAAAAGAAGAAAAAAAAAGGCCTGGCCCATGGCTCATGCCTGTTATCCCAGCACTTTGGGAGGCCAAGGCGGGGAGATCACAAGGTCAGATCAAGATCATCCTGGGCAACATGGTGAAGCCCTGTCTCTACGAAAAACACAAAAATTAGCTGAGTGTCCACACCCCTGGAATCCCATCTACTCAGGAGGCTGAGGCACTAGAATCACTTGAACCTGGGAGGTAGAGGTTGCAGTGAGCTGAGATCACCCCACTGTCCTCCAGCCTGGTCAGAGTAAGACTGTCTCAAAAATTTAAAAAGGTGGGTCTTGTTATAACTGTTACTTAAGACTTTTTGTACGGTTTTCTGTACCAGTCTGTAGTAGAGTTCCTAGTGAGTTACTCATCTTACCCAAATAAAGTGTACAGATATATTAATAATTTCCAAAACCACCACCCTATTAAGTCTAGAGTTTAAAAGGCCTAAGATATTGAAAACCACCCTAAGTACTTAAATCTTCTGTCACATCTCTTCCAAAAGGGCCTTTGAGCAGCAAGGAGCAAAAATAATTCACGGTTTTGACTCCTTCAGCAATTTAAGGCAAACAATACTTTCCATGGCCTAGTTATTATCTAACTTAACTCCTCCCTTTTAAGATCAGTGGATATGTTTTATCAATAAGATCACCAAATTTTTTTTTCTTCCTCTAACATGGATCGTAAGAAACAAGGATCACCAAATATTAAACCAAAGTTAACAAATTTAAAACAGGACAACCTCTAACATAGAACTTGTCACCAGGTTGTCATGATGGACTTGGAGGGGAGGGTATCTGAAACTATATTCTGAAATCTAAGCAAAAAATCCACCGTTCCTCCAAGAATTTGTCCCAAAAGGCAAAGAACCAATTTTCTAAAAGAGGCAGAGAAAAACTTCAGAAGTGAACTTTGTAAACTTTAGCCACAGAAACAAAACTTATGGTCTAAAATCACAAAAGAGTTCACCACCCTCCCCCAGGCCCTTTCTTAAAACTTACTTTTTGCTACGTTCTTCGTGGCCGTTGGCACTGCTCAACTTGTTCTCATCCTAAGCAGGGTTGATAGAAGAACATCATGAGGACGAAGTGGTAACATTTCAAGTTGTCAAAGGGTAAAGGGAACAGGAATAAGAAAATACAAAACAATTTTAAAACTAATTATTTATTTATAGTTTAACATGGAAGGCTATAAAAAAATTTAGATAGGTATGTGTTTAACCACTTTGTTGCTTACATTTAAGTCATCAAGATACAAAAATAAAAAAATCTTTCCATATTAACATGTTATTAAATTTTACTTTCTTATATAGTTATCCAGATTTACAACGTTGAAGTGGTTAAATATAATTTCCATAAAACATGAAGTCCTGTTTTGAGTTTTATTCCATGTGCTATGGTCCCTTTGGTCAGTACCATGGCTCTATTTCTGCCTAAGCCCCAAGTGGCCATGCTAGCAGCCAGCCACTATCGATTTCCTGTGACCGATGCCATTCCTGAGATCTTCGCCCATTTCCGTTGGAGGGTTGGGACTGTAAGAGCTTGATGCCACCTCTGTCACACATCTCGCCCTGAAGCAAACAGGGATTCACACTGCTTTAGTAATGTTGACTCCCAAGAACCCAAGAAAGTCAATTAATAATCCACCAGTCCAGCCTAAACATTTCCTACTTCCATACCTGTTTACATGGAATTACATCCATGATAAAAAACTAAGACACAAGAATCTTAACATTAAAACAGAAAGCAGCTCTTCAAGAGTCTAAGCATTACAAAATTACATACACTATTTAAAGCTATTAAGAATTCATCCAAATTGGTACCACATGGTCGTGCTATACAATCCAAAACAAATGTATTATTTTTAAAAGGTTTAACGAAATGTTTAAAGTTTGATTACATCAGCTATAGGAGTAAAGTGCTAACTTACAAAGCTTAGTTTGTGACACCAGTGATAATGCATGCATACTGCTATTTTCACCACCAACTGGTGAAACAATGAATAGACAGTTTACTTTTACTTCGATACCGAAATGAGTCAAAGACTATATTAGCTAAAATAATTCCTTTGTTTTTAGTGTGAAATACTATGGCAGGGCCTAATTAAAAATAAAACAATATGGAGAACAGTAAAACAGTCATCAAGTGACTCTAAGCTGTAATACTGCCTCTTTTTTTGTTGTTGTTTAATTTCTACTCAGGGATCCAAGAATTTTAGTAATTATTAACTGAGCAGCAGATTGCCACTGGCCTGTTTAAAGATCTACTATCACCAGTCTTACATAGATATATATAAATTTTAAAATCTCACCCATTTCTTCTTAGAAGACTTATTAGAAGATTTAACTTGCCACAGACTGGTTATGCCTTGTTATTCTTGGACCCCTGCTTTTTCCCAAACCACTACATTCACCTTTTTGCTATACCAAACTGGAGCTGGTAATTCTTAGTTGAGTCATTTTACCTAGGGGACCACGGTACAGCGATAAGTCACTCAATTACTACCTTATGATTGACAGTTCACACTGGAATCAAAGGTGAATTCATGGGAGTAGAGGTGAGATATCGTTAGGCAAGTCTACAAAGAGAGATAGATGGGCATTTATTCATCACGCTGAAGTGAAACTACTGCACAATATTATTACATCAATAGCATATATTTACTTTTGTAAGTTACACGCAATGCATCTCTGATAAGATAAATCAAGAGGGCTCCGGGGAGGTTAGTTTACATTTCAGCAGTAGTTTCGTGAATAATGCTAAATTAAGAAATATATAAACCTCACCGACATGTTTTTCTCACCTTCTTGTAAGGAGCCTCAAGCATTGCTTCAATATCAATATCGTCTGCCATTTTCTCTAAACGCCTAGGAAAAGAAGACAATTTCTTGAGTAAACATTTTTTTGAGACATAATTTCACTCTTATTGCCTATATTGCCTAACATTTTCTCCAAACGCCTAGGAAAAGAACAACACGATTCCGTGAGAAAACATTTTTCTTTTTTTTTGAAACGGAGTTTTTCTCTAGTTGCCAAGGCTGAAGTGCAGTGGCGCGATCTGGGCTCACTGCAAGCTCCGCCTCCCGGGTTCAAGTGATTCTCCTGCCTCACCTCCCAAATAGCTGGGATCACAGGCGCTTGCCGCCACGCCCAGTTAATTTTTGTATTTTTAGTAGAGACGGGGTTTCACTATGTTGAGGAGGCAGGCTGGTCTCGAACTCCTGACCTCAAGTGATCCGCCTGCCTCGGCCTCCCCAAGTGCTGGGATTACAGGCGTGAGCCACCGCGCCTGGCACGGTAAACGTTTTTCAAATCGACTTAATTTTTTTCTCAGCCAACATCCTCTAAAACTTAAGAAAAACCTCCAAAAGCCCTACAATGAATGAGTAAAGTGACACGCATTTTAACAAGGTTTGCTTCTGTAAGTGAATCCAAAACACCTCTTACACCAAACACACGAAAATGGAGGCTTCAATGTCCAATGTTTAAAACCCTGCTATCAACTCCAAAAACAAATTGCGAGACCCGAGCGAGAGCGCCTCTTTCCGCGCAAAAATCGCACTGCCATTTTAGGGGCAAAGGGAAACTCCCTCCATTAGGAGGGGTTGTGAGCCAAGGCAGCGTTCGACTGGCGCCATGTTAGGAGGTCGGGGCCTGCCCAGGCCTCGGAGACAGGTCACCATCCTATCGCGGCCTCTCAAGGGTCTTGGCCACAAGAATCCAGACTCTACCCGACAGAAAAACAAGGGCGTGGTCGCTGAAACAGGGCCGATTTCTCGAAAACCTCCCCCGACTCCGGTTACTAAAGACCGCCAAGAGCGCCCCTCAGTCCAAAAAGGAGTCAAACCTAGAGAAAGCTGGAATAATACGCGGGTCCGCGACGTCCCAGTACCTGTGCCGGCTTTCGGGCGCCTGTGGTGCTCGTGCTCGTCAAGAGACTGCTGCTGCCGCCGCCGCCGCTGCTGCTGTTGCTACTGTTAAGCCCCTAGGCCCAGGCCGTGGGACTGCCCAGCCCGAATATCGGGCTCCGAGAACGGCTAGGCCCAAGCGAATCTAAAAAAAACAATGGAATTAGAGAAGCCCACGCGGGAGAGCAGGACGGCGGCTTCGGCAGCTCAGGATCCACCCCTGCGACAGCGTCGGCAAGCTCCCTGAAATGGCGGCCGCTGCTTCCCTGTACTCACATTCACCAGCACACATACACACACAAACACACGGGGCCTCACGGAGCCCTCAGCACGGGCTCTCGCGAGAAGCTGCCCCACGCTCCGAATCGGAGCGGCCAAAGTATCGCGAGATCTAAATAAGGCCCCCAGCGACTGTAGCCCAATCTCGCGCAATGATTGCGCCATAGACGTTCCCATCCCCCATTCAGAGGGGCGCCTTTCACTACCCCGCTGCATAAGCACTCTAATCTCGCGAGACGGCACGGGTCTCTACGGCAAAGACAGTTGGTGGACTGCCTGTCAATCTTTCGGAGAGCTCCTAGCTGAGTGGAGTTCTGCGGTGGCCGCCCCTTCGGTGGCGCCTCCTCACGGCCTTCTGAAGATTCTCCTCTCACAGCCGACCGCCTCCGCTCTGGCCTCCCACCCGGATGGCTGTCAAGGTCGCCATAAGGCAACCTAGTCCTTATGGCGATAGGATAAGAAGGCCATATTCAGATTATCCGCTGAGGGTGGAGACGAAGTGGTAAAGTGTATCAGAAGGCGAGAGGAGACCTTGAGGGGTAGGAGGAAAGGGGGAGATAATAAAAATAGATTTCCTTGTCATTTGGAGCCAATGGCGCGTCGTCCACTGTCGAGCTTTGAAACACTCTTGGAAATAGTGGAGAAAAGCAAAAAAAAAGTGGAAAAAATAAACTCTGCTTCCCTTGGCATGGCATCAGCTTTTGTGCCCTGAATTTAATCAGCCCTTGTGTCAGTGTTGCTACCGTTTCTTCAAAAATGTTCCCCTTCCTGAATATTACTGAAGAATTGCTGGGGAAAAAAAAAAAAGACCCTTCCTCCCACCAAAAAAAGGTCCCCCTTTCCCCTGCGACCTGGCTCCTCTCCCCTGAACTCTCCCAGATGTCTGGTAATTCGAGTGTGAATTCGCCGCTTGTTCTTTAGTCAGTACTGTAAGGGGTTTCCTCCTAGATGCTAGACAAAAAATTGGAAAGAAGTCTTCAAATCAAAAATCTTACCGAAGTCTCTTAAGAGTCTAATGATTGAGGGCAAAAAAAGATTCGAAATGAGATGGCTTGATTCGTGTAGCTAGCTGCTCCAACACTGTGTGACCTTGGACAAGGAAATTAACCTCAGAGCAGATCTTTCATTTCCTGATTTAAAAGGGGACATATTCAGGCCTGGCGCGGTGGCTCACGCCAGTGATTCCGGCACTTTGGGAGGCCGAGGCGGGCGGATCGCCTGAGGTCAGGAGTTCGAGACCAGCCTGACTAACATGGAGACACCCCGTCTCTACTAAAAATAACATTAGCCGGGTGCGGTGGCACATGCCTGTAATCCCAGCTACTCGGGAGGCTACTTGGTAGGCTGAGGCAGGAGAATCACTTGAACCCAGGAGGCTGAGGTTATGGTGAGCCGAGATCACACCATTGCACTCCACCCTGGGCAGCAAGAGCAAAACTCCGTCTGAGAAAAAAAAGTGGGGGACATATTCTTAGTAGTTGGACTAAGCTACTTGAGATTGAGGAAGGCAGGCAATGCTCACTACTGAATTTCAGAGGTTTGCAGGGCATGTCTGCCCAGGTAGACCCTCAGTGAATTAGTGAATGAAGGCTCAGTAAGGTTGTAGTGAAGATTAAATGATATAATGTCTGTAAAACACCTGGAAAATATTTAATCTTCAAAAAAGCTAACTTCTATTTCTGCTAAACAAAATTATTTAGAGAAAATATAGATGTTAAGAGGTTTTACCTCTCAGGTTAACTTTACACACAGGCTAGGGTTTATCTTAGAGGATTATTATTATTTTTTTTAAGAGATGGGGTTTCACCATGTTGGCACAGGCTGGTCTTGGAACTCCTGACCTCAGGTGATCCACCCGCCTCGGCCTCCCAAAGTGCTGGGATTATAGGCGTGAGCCACTGCGACTGACCGAGGATTATTAATAACAGTTATTTTGTAGTTAGAATACTTTTTTTTTATTATTTTTATTTTTTTAAAGACGGGGGTTTCACCATGTTGATCAGGCTGGTCTTGAACTCCCGACCTCAGGTGTTCCGCCGGCCTTGGCCTCCAAAGTGCTTGGATTACAGGCGTGAGCCACCACGCCTTTCCAGAATACTCTCTTAATCCTTTTTCTGAAAATTCAGATCCCGTTTTGATTTTATTTTATTTCTGAGATGGAGTCTGGCTCTGGAGGCGGAGTTCGGTGGCTCATGCCTGTAATCCCAGCACTTGAGGCAGGTGGATTGTTTGAGGTCAGGAGTTCAAGACCAGCCTGACCAACATGGCAAAACTCCATCTCTACTGAAAATAGAAAAATTAGCCGGGCGTCGTGGGGGCCTGCAGTCCCAGCTACTTGGGAGGCTGAGGCAGGAGACTCCCTTGAATCCAGGAGGCAGAGGTTGTACTGAGCTGATATCACGCCACTGCACTCCAGCCTGTGTGACAGAGCTAGACTCTATCTCAAAAAAAAGGGCACCCCCCTCCCTGGCCTGATAATTCCAGTATTCTGTCTTGTTACTGTGCAAAATCAAAGCATGAAGGTGACACTTCATTTTTCTTGTTTGTTTGGAAGCATGACAGGACAGAATTTGACCTTAACCTCTAGACTTCTTGTTTGCGAAGAATTTAAGTTCTAAGTCACTTGATGATTTGAGATCCCTTAAATGGTTTTCTGCTGAAGGACCATGGGAGACAATTTGTCAACTTAGCAGATAATTTAAAAACACCATTTTAAAAAATCAAGTCTCTCAAACAAGAGTGTTTGTTTGTTTGTTTGTTTTTTGAGACAGAGTCTTGCTTAGTCCCCCAGGCTGGAGTGCAATGGCGTGACCTCGGCTCACCACAACCTCTGCCTCCTAGGTTCAAGCGATTCTCCTGCCTCAGCCTCCTGAGTAGCTGAGATTACAGGCATGTACCACCACACCCAGCTGATTTTGTATTTTTAGTAGAGATGGGGTTTCTCCATGTTGGTCAGGCTGGTCTCGAACTCCCGACCTAGGTGTGATCCACCCACCTCAGCCTCCCAAAAGTGCTGAGATTACAGGCATGAACCATCGCACCCGGCCAAACGAGTATTTTTTATGTTTAAAAGAAAATATCCAGCTGGGCGCCGTGGCTCACACCTATAATCCTACCACTTTGGGAGGCCAAGGCAGGCAGATCATGAGATCAAGACATCGAGACCACCCTGGCCAACATAGTGAAACCCTGTCTCTACTAAAAATACAAAATTTAGCTGGGTGTGGTGGTACGTACCTGTTTTCCCAGCTACTTGGGAGGCTGAGGCAGGAGAATTGCTTGAACCCAGGAGGTGGAGGTTGCAGTGAGCCGAGATTGCACCAGTGCAATCTGGCCTGGGTGATAGAGGGAGACCTCTGTCTCAAAAAAAAAAGAAAAAGAATAACAAAAGAAAGAAAAGAAAAGAAAATATCCTTAGGCATGACGGCACATGACCTGTAATCCCAGAACTTTGGGAGGCCAAGGCAGGAGGATTGCATGAGCCCAGGAATTTGAGACTAGCCTGGTCAATATATCAAGACCTTGTCTGTACACACAACTTAAAAATTAGCCAGACATGATGATGCATGCCTGTAGTTCCAGCTACTCAGGAGGCTGAGATGGGAGTATTGCTTGAGCCTAGGAGTTCAAGACTTCAGTCAACTAGAATCATGTGCCACTTTACTCCAGCCTGGGCAACAGAGAAGGACCCTGTCTCTAACAGAAAAGAAAATATGACCAACATAACATGCTTTTCATTCACTTTATAAAACTTCTGTAACTCTGATTCATGAACTCTCTATGTAAATTAATTTCCCTTTTATAATTTTGCTCTCGGGGGACTGCAGGTGGGGTTTAAAAAAAAACTTTTTGCTCTCAAAGGATAGAGGAATGGAGCCTGAAATAGAGTTGAAAAAGTAATTAATATACTTAGAGAATTAGGCTGTAAACTAAATGTATTTTACCAATTTGAGGATTTTTAATTTTTTTTTTTTTTTTTTTTTTTTTGGGACGGATTTTGGCTTTTTTTGTCCAGGCTGGAGTTCAATGGCGCGATCTCGGCTCACCGCAACAACCGCCTCCTGGGTTCAGGCAATTCTCCTGCCTCAACCTCCTGAGTAGCTGGGATTACAGGCATGCACCACCATGCCCAGCTAATTTTTTGTATTTTTAGTAGAGACAGGGTTTCACCATGTCGTGATCCACCCGCCTCGGCCTCCCAAAGTGCTGGGATTACAGGCTTGAGCCACCGCGCCCAGCCCGATTTTTAATTTTTTAATAAGCGTACATTTTAAGTGTATATGTTTATCAGATACATGTGGTTTTGTTTTCTTTTTTTTGTCTCCAAAGATCTATAGCAGGTAGAATTGTTTTTTTGTTTTGTTTTGTTTTGTTTTGAGACAGTCTCCCTCTGTCTTGAGGCTGGAGTGCGGTGGTGGGATGTCGGCTTACTGCAACCGCCACCTCCCGGGTTCAAGCCATTCTCCTGCAAGAGAATCACTTGAACCATGGAGGCACAGTTTTCAGTGACCAGAGAATGAGCCACTGCACTCCAGCCTGGGTGACAGAGTGAGACTCCGTCTCAAAAAGAGAAAAGAGACTTTTGTAGAGACTGGGACTTCAAACCTGTGATGTTTTGATATAGGCATATAATGTGTAATAATCAAAGCAGAGTAATTGGGTTAATCTCAAGCATTTCTCTTTTTTATTTTTATTTTTGATGGAGTTTCTCTCTTGTCACCAAGGCTGGAGTGCAATGGCACGTTCTTGACTCACTGGAACCTCCACCTCCCAGGTTCAAATTATTCTCCTCCCTCAGCCTCTTGAGTAGCTGGGATTCACTCCCCACTAATTTTTGTATTTCTAGTAGAGATGGGGTTTCACCATGTTGGCCAGGCTGATCTTGAACTCCTGAACTCATGATCCACCTGCCTCAGCCCCTAAAATCCTGGGATTACAGGTGTGAGCTACCGTACCTGGCCCAGATGCAA